CAAACAAAATAATGCTGCATAATCTGGTGGAGGTGTTTTTTTCTTCTTCTTCTTCTGTCGATTGCACCATTTTAATTACTTCTTTCAGGGAGAACTTACTGTAGGAGTTTTGTAAAATGAGCTTGTGTTTGCTGAGCGAAACATCATGAAAACTCCAAGATGTGAGTCATTTTTTAAGACCATTAAGATTTATTTTTTGCGTCGTGACAGTAATTTTATGAAAATTCTCATTAATATTATGACTCAAATGTAATGTGGCAGCATTATATAATGGCAGATTATAAGTCGTGAGCATTTTCCATAAAATAATATACTATAATTCATACACTATACATAACACTACATGCTCTATACTATATATATACATATATATATATATATATATATATACAGTTAGAAAAAATATTTTGAACTAAATCATTTAAAAATAATAGCAATTGTTTACATGAATCCACCTCACTGTTTACTTTTCTCGATATGGCAGTTGCAGAGGTTTACTCGCTAGTCGCTGATAAAACATTCAGAATTGAACTTGGATTATCATTTGTCCTTCAAATCATTCAAAATAAGTAGAAGTCATTTGCAATGCAAAAACGGCTTTTCCATACAGCATTCTGGTCAAGGTTGCTTTTAAAAGTTGATGTGAGGAAACAAAATGTTCAAATTTACTTCAATAAAATTTAATGCTTGAGTAAAATTAGTAAATGTGTGTTACATTTAAATATTGTTGAAATGTAAAATAACAATGTTGTGACGATTTCCTTGATATGCAATACATAAATATTGTTACGGCTGTTGCCTTTCTGTGCGTGAATCATGACATCACTTACTGCTCTTTTTATTATGCTTTGTTGTTCTTTAGGTTTGTTAGTCTTAGATTAATGTTGGATATTTGAGGGCGAATGAAAGTTGTGAATCTTTATTCGTTCTTGTTTAGTTAAGACACATGATTTGTTTGATTGTTTTGTAATAGTAAATTTATTTGTGTGCTCAAACTGGATTCATGTGTCCTCTTTATGTTACGTTCCCTTCTAAATTAAAATTTTAAAAAGGGTTCGTAATATAATATTTAAATGTTTTTCAATAGTTTTATTGATCAAAGAGCTATAAATTTATCAGAAATGTCAGCAAAGACATTTTCATTTCAAAACATTTTAATCCCCCCAAAAAGTTTCAACACTGATAATAAAAATAATAAAACTCATTGCCAAGATATCAAGCTCATCTGGGTAGATGGCAAAGATCTGCCACGCTGATATGAAGGGGTTTTGCTGTACCTAGAGTGTTTTGGGCAGTTGCTAGGTGGTTGCTTAAGGTCAAAGTCAAAAATGAAGACTTTGAAATCCAACACATGATCCCAAAACACACCTCAACAAGATGCGCATTTGTGTGAATCTTTATAGTAATTTGATCTGCTATAATCAATAAATATTGATACTCAGTCATTAATAATGATTTTTTTAATTATCAATGTTGAACATGCTTACTTCAGTGTTCTGGAAACTCAATATAACTGCAAACTCATTGAAGCGATGGGAAATACCAACCATAGCAAATAAAATAATTTATTTTCAAGGTTTTTATAATGAAAAGAAATATCCAAATAACCACGTTAACTTGTAATAAAATATAGTTTACATTATAAATTACTTTATTTTACTTTATCTTTATGTCCATGAAAAACTACAGTGAATAAATCTTTAGTGATGAAAAGTAAAAGTTTCTTGAGCAGCAGATCTGCAGTTGGAATAGTGAAAATTCAGCTTTAAATTGCTGGAATGCATGACATTTTAAACTTTATTCAATCTGAAAGCAGAATTTCACACTCAGTTTTTACTGTTTTTACTGTCTTCTTGAAAACCCTTAAATGCAGCTTTTGTAAGCAGCAGTGGCTTCTTTTAAAAAACATTGCAAAATCTTGCCAATCCCAAATATTTGGTTGGCAGTGTTACTAAAACATAATATTAGAAAAAAACAACAACAACATTGCAATATTAAGTGTAATTTCACCAGATTAAATGGAGAGCTCTTTTTGGAAAGAGTCCATGAATTTAGATTGATTGGGATAATTTTTTGATGAATTGCATCTGCATAAAATATAATAAACCAATCACAAGCATTGATAAATGCAGTAAAGCAAAAATACAAATGAAATAAGCAGCGTTTTATAGGAATTCAGCAGTCTTCAGGCACAAATTGAATAATAAATTAAAAAATATTATTAGTAAAAAATAAATGAAATAAAAAACACTTTATATTCTTCATCGAACATACATAAACACAATTCACCTTTTTGTAAATTACAAATATTCTAATTTCCTGTGCCTGAATTCTTTAAACTGTCTTGAAATGTTCAAACTTTGTTAAATTCATGGTTAAACTTTGCAATTTACTACAGAAATCACATGGTTATTTTTTTCTCCTGATCAAATATAATCCTGACTGAAAGTTGCAGATTCTGCGATGTGACTATTGCGGATGCACACATTTCAGTATTGATGCTGAAACAATATATTGTGCAGTCCTAGGCAATCGATACAAAATCAGCCTGAATGTTTTAAACATGTCATGGGTGACTGTGTTAACCACCAAGCAATTAAAAACACATTGAGCAACACAGACTGTTGCTCAATATATTGTTGAATTACTCTGGCCGTGGTTAACACCAACTTCTCTCTGTGTATTCATAGTCTCTTACCCCTGGCAGGAAGGTGAAGAAATTGTATTTTTGGTTGTTTATGACGTTTCTTGGATATCTCTGCTCTCTCTTTTCCGGATGGCCCAACCACACGGTCCGGGGACGGAAATCTCCCCCTCCGCAGCATCTGGACCAAGGGCAGCACCTACATATAAAAGCATCATTAGTGCTGGGCGATATAACACAAATCTCATATCATAATATATGTAATCTAATATCCTGATAACGACATATTTCACAATAAAGTGTCATTCCTGTACATTTAATCAATTAATAGTTTATTATTAATAAACTATAATTATTGTTATTATGATTAATAATAAATATTATTATTGAAAGTAAAGGGCTATTTTCTTTTTACATTTTAAAGGTCCCGTGAAATCAAAGATATTTTTTTTAGCATGTTAGTATCAGTTTGTTACTTTTAAGGTTATCTATACATTTATGAAGACATTTAGATTATTTTATAAACCTGACATAAAGCTTACTTGTAAAGCTTGCAGTTTATCTCTTAAGCCTCAATGGGTCAACAATTTTTTGACATTACTTCATACTTGAGTTTCTCATCAAATCTTCTGACCAATCAAATGCTCTCCAGTGTCTGACATGTCCCGCCCCCTTCACAATGCTTCTCACTTGCTTTTCTTTGATGTGCTTGATCTCAACCGCTATCACTAGCAGAGCTGTGATTAAAAACAAAACACTATTGGCTGGTTATTAAAAAGGGGAAGAGCTACTATATTCCCCACCCTCTCCTCATGTTTCAGTTGAGATTAAATCATTCATCCATTCATTTTCTTGTCGGCTTAGTCCCTTTATTTATCTGGGGTTGCCACAGTGGAATGAACTGCCTTATCCAGAATATGTTTTTCAGTCTTTTTCTGCAACCGGTATGCACAGTTCAACCCGTGTGACGTGAATATGCAAATGTAAAGCAAGCAACTTACAACTCTTCAACAGAAAAAAAAAACAAGAAAAATTAATAAAATCTGACATAAAGACACTGGAATTCCACTGCAGCCACAGAAATATTCTCAAGGAAGCAACAAAACCACGTCAGTAAATATTAGCTTTTAGGATCAAACTCCTACCAACACCTTTATCAAACAAGCTCTTAACAACACTTTGACATATTGGATATTCCACTTCCTTATATATAGCTGAAGCATATTTGGATGCTGGAACAGCTAAGAAAATCAAACTAAACTTCGGCTTAGTCCCTATATTCATCAGGGGTCACCACAGCGGAATGAACCGCCAACTTATCCAGCACGTTTTACACGGTGGATGCCCTTCCAGCTGTAACCCAATACTGGGAAACATCCATACACTCTCATTTACACACATACACTACGGCCAATTTAGTTTATTTAATTCACCTAGAGCAGAGTTTCTCAACCAGATCCTGGAGCACCACTAACACTGCATGTTTTGGATGTCTCCTTTGTCTGTCACACCCATTACAGGTCTTTAAGTATCTGCTAATGAGCTGATTATCTGAATCAGGTGTGTTTGGTAAGGAAGGCATGGAATATGTGCAGAGCTGGTGGTAATCCAGGAACGTGGTTAAGAAACACTGACCTAGAGCATACAGGGAAACCGGAGAACCTGGAGGAAACCAAACACGAGGAGAACATGCAAACTCCACACAGAAAAGCCAACTGGCCCAGACGGGATTCAAACCAGTGACCTTCTTGCTGTGAGGTGACAGTGTTATACCTCTGAGCGAACGTGTTGCCTATAATGAATTAGAACGGTGAATTGATAAAATATCCTTTATTTGTTTCAAATTAAGCTATATTGGTCATGAAAATACATTTTGAATCACCATACATTTATGGAAAATGAACTGAAATTTTGGAAATTGTGTCATGGTAGTTTAGTTATTAGCTCTTAGTAGTTTATAAATAATAAAAAATAAAATAATAATAATGTGTACAGTCAGTGCTCAGCATAATTGAGTAAACCCCATATTGAAAATGAATATTTTTAATCCCTTCCTCAGTGAATATAGGCAATGTATTTTGGTACATTTAAACAAAACAGATTTATTAAACAGATACATTTATTCAAATAATATTTTAGTCACCAAACAATTCAAGCAAAAAAAAAAAAAAAAAAAATATATATATATATATATATATATATATATATATATATATATATATATATATATATATATATATATATATATATATATATATATATATATATATATATATATATATATATATATATATATATACATATATATATATATATATATATATATATATATATATATATATATATATATATATATATATATATACATATATATATATATATATATATATATATACATATATATATATATATATATATATATATATATATGTATATACATATATATATA